CCTCCACCAGTCCTTCACTGAGGGCCTGGCCAGACTCAGCCCCAGAAGAGAAGGAGCAAAATACTGCCAATTCTGCAGCCTGCTGGAAGATGAGCTGCGCATAGCAGCTGCTGACCCCGCCTCTCAACAACAGGCGGCAGGGGCCCGGAGCTCCAGAACTCTTGGCCTGGCTGCTGAAATCCAAACATGGCCTGCAGCCCTGGCTGCCTCCACTTTCTCCCTCCTGGGGGCCCTCCCCCCGGAGCCCCTCCCTTCGCAGCGGTACCTTGCAGCAAGCTCTGGAGGTTAAGCTGAGCTTCCTGATGTAGCTCCTCCACACCTGGGGGCCGGCTGGAGGAGAGGAACACATTCACTGGCTGTTGCCATGACGACTTGGGGTGGGTAGCAGTTTTCTTATTCTCCAGACCCAAGGTGGAGGCAGCTAGGAAAGAAGAGCACCAGGTGAGCCTTGGACGGGAGCCGAGGACGGGAGCTGAGGACGGGAGGAGGCCACGTGCCGAGCAAGGTGCCGCCGTCACCTGGAATGCTTCGGGAGGCTCCGGCATTTGACCCGAAACCTCCCCAGAATGCAGGGCAGGCCAAGTGCTTCTCAGCAGGCCCTGGGGAGGCCTGGCCTGGCCTGGCCTGCCTCTTCACCCCGAACAGCCAAAGAGAGAGGACCCTCTCCTCAGCATGCCCTGCCCCGTTTAGCACCCTCATTGTGACCGGGAGAGGAGACCCATCCTTTTTTCCTCCTCTCATCCATCCATTCTCTCGTTATGAGCCACAACTAGGAATTCTGCCACCCAGAACAAGTACCAAACGTCGGGCCTGGGAAAAGTGAAACAAAACAGAACCTCAGTTGGGGTGAGCAGAGGGAGACAGAAGTCCCACGACATTAGCTAGCAAGCAGTGAGGCCACTTCGAGGGCCCCCTCAAGCTTCCCCTCTGGTAGTTTCCTGTTTCCACCAGTCAGTCTTGATAACTAGGGTATACATTTTACATTCCTACGTGCTGAAGGAGTGCAGATGTTGCCAAAGAGCCCTCTAAATTCAGCAGCTCTGGGGTGAAGGCCCAGTTGCCCCACCCTAGTTATGGTTCTGTTTGAAGTCCTTCATTTGGGCACCAATACATTTAGTCCCCACAATGAGCCAAGCCATGAGCTGGGCATGGAGAGTGATGCCTCTCACAAAGCTAACAACCCAGCAGGTACAGAAATAACCCTCATTTCAACTGGAACATGCTAAATGGGTTCGAGAAGTGGCCACAAAGTACTTGGGGCATTTTGGCAGGGGATGGGTGGGAGGAAGAAGCTACTTTTGACTAGAAGGCCAGCACCTCCACCCATGCCTTACTCACTGTAAGTGCTGCAAAATAGCCCACCATGGCAGAGAGGCCAAGTAGGCTATGTCCAGATAGCCCAGTCAGGCCTTGGGAGGGTGGCTACATATAACATCAATGTCTTGGACTTCCGGATAAAAATGTGGTTCTCGTAAACAAAGATCTGCTCATTATTACCTTGCATACAGGAAACATTTCCATAGTGACAAGTACATTTATTATAAACATGAACACAGAGTAACCCATTCCTAGAAACACACAACAGAGGCCAGATGATGTCATGAAAAGAACTTAGAATCAGAGTCATGGAATCATGAAATCATAATCTGAGAACTGTAAGGGACCTTTTGAACATCTCCCACCTGAAGAAATTCACCACCTGCCAAGGCAGCCCCCTTCCCTAGAGGTGTTCAAGCAAACTCTGGGATCTTGAAGAAGGGATTCTGCCTGAGGTTTGGCTTGGCGTCAATGGCGCTAAAGTCCCTGCCCACTCGGAGTTTCTGGGATTCTCTGTTCAGCTCTATCCTTCTATGTAGTCACTGATTCATCCATCTGTTCATTCATTTGTCCATGCATTTATTCATCCATTCAACAAATACTGAGTATCGGGGCAGCTAGATGGTGCAGTAGATAGAGCACCGGCCCTGAAGTCAGGAGGACCTGAGTTCAAATCTGGCCTCAGACCAAACACTTGACACTTACTAGCTGTGTGACCCTGGGCAAGTCACTTAACACCAATTGCCTAAAAAAAAACAAAACAAAAAAAAAACCCCACAAAAACAAAAAAACAACAAAACAACAACAACCCCCCCCAAACCCCCAAATACTGAGTATCTATTACCAATAAAGTTCCACATGAAGCTCTAGGTTTTATAAAAATGGTATGTCCTTGGAAAGGCATGCTTCTAACTTCCAGCTAACACAACAGTGGGAAAGGCCAGAGAGGAGTCAGCTCTCCTACAAACGGGCACTAGATTGAGAAATGATCAAGAAATTCAAAGAAAAACATCAGTAAGCTCTTTCAACAAGACTGAGATGATACACAAAGAGAGCCTAGACATGGAGGATGGCTCAGGGGAGTGGGCCTACCGCAGAGGCCTTCAAAGGAAGCCCTCAGTAGCACTCTGACTAGGGTGAGCCTGGCTGAGGTAGGGGAAATGGGGCTTAAAGGAGCACCCCTGAGCAGGGACAGCCAACTGCAGAGATCTGACCAAGGACACTGAAGCCTGCCTGTGCTCTGAGCAAAGATACATCACGCGAAGGGGAAGCCAGTGGAAAGACATTGAAGTCAGGACAAACAGGATCCATCCCAGGTCTGAACTGTCCAAGAGTGCTGAAGGGGAACCAGCCTAGCTCTGGCCAGAGTCTCACATTAGAAACTGAGGATGGAGATATTGGTAATCACAAGAAGATACTGGACATTATGAAGAAATTTTATGGGACAAGAGATAGCCATGAGGTGAACACTGAAGAAGAAAGTAACTATACCACAAATACAAGCAGTGTCTCCAGGGGAAAAAAAAAACTGGGTTGGCCACAAGGATTACAAGAATACTTGGGAAAAAATTAAGCAAGAGATTTAAAAAAAAAAAAAAAAAGAAAATGATAGGTGAAATAAGAGCTCTGTAGGAAAGAATTAGAAAGAGAACAAAGAACTGAGAACAGAAGGAAGAAAGACTTATGCAAGTAAAAGAGTCCCTGAAAGTTAGAATGAATCAAAGACAACTCAATGACTCTATGAGACAACTAGAAATTTTAGACAAAAAATCAAAGATTGAAAAAATAGAAGAAAATTTAAGGTATATACTATCAAACACACCTGACCCGGAAAATAGGTCAAGGAGTGACAATTTAAGAATCATAAGACTCCCCAAAAACCATGACCAAAAAGCAAAAGAATACCATATTTCACAAAATCATAAATGAAAACTGCCCAACTTTATTAGAACCAGAGAGCAAAGGGGAAATAGAAAGAACACAGCAGTCACCTCCTGAAAGGAACCCCCAGATGAAAATTCCCAGGAATGTCAAAGCCAAAGGTCATAGCTTTCTGGTGAAAAGAAAAAAAAATACTATTAGCAGCTAGAAAGAAACAATTTAAATACCAAGGAACCTGTCAATATCACATGACTCAGCAGCCACGACTTAAAGGAGAGAAGATCTTGGAACATGATATTTCAAAAGCAAAAAAGATAAAGGTTTACAACCAAGAGCAACTTACCTGCATAGCCTGCAAGATCGAGTACAGTCCAAGAGGTGAAAAAGGATTTTAATGGAATAAAAGACTTTAAAACATTTCTGCTAAGAAGACCAGAGATGAATAGAAAGTTTGAATTATAAACATAGGGGTTAAGAGAAACCTAGAAAGGCAAATACATTTAAATAACTGGAAGGGTCTAAACCAGAGGTAAAAAGGGTGTAAAACACCCTTTACAGCAATGAGGACAGACCCAAAGAATTGTACAAAAAGGAATTGCTCATAGGAGGCAGTGTGAGGTAGTGGATAGTGAGCCAGCCTTAGAGGCAGGAAGTCCTGCCTCGGACACATATTGGCTATGTGACCCTGGGCAAGTCACTTAAGTTTTCTGTGCTCTGGTCAACTCTCTAAGAATCTAAGTTTCAGGGGGCAGTCAGTCAATAACTCTCTAACCAGATTAAAATGTAATTGGGAAATGTTAAACAAAATCAATAAACACACCACACAATATAGATAATGTTCATTTGTTGTTTTCTAAGTCAATGTGCAGGCAGTTTCTATTTGAGTTAGACACCATTGTCTAAATGGTAATATTGGTAAATGTTGTCATTTTGTTTTGTTTTGGCTAGGCAATAGGTAAAATGGTAATATGTCTAAATGCTTATATTTTTACAAAGAGAAGAGACAAGTCTTTCAAAAATTCTTATGCCTTCAAGGGTCACAGAAGAACTTAAATAAGATAAACAGAGGGACTGCGGGTGGTTTTGCTCATTTTTAATGGTTCTAAGATAGAAAAGAAAGGGGAAGAAAAATGGAGTACACGGGGGATGAAATCAGGAAGAAGGCTTTATGAGAAGAGCGTACAAATAGGGAGGAAGGGGTGGGGAGAGTGGGTATTACATGAACCTCACTCTTATCAGAACTGAACAAAAGGGGTTTGAACATACAGACACAAAACGTTTGGTTTAACTCCACAGGGATCAGGGAGGAAGAGGGAAAGGGGAGAGAGGGGCTTGAGAGGAAGGTAGAGCCACAAGGCAACCAAACTTCAACTTTAGAATGTAGGAATAAGTGGATCGAAAACCAAGAGCTAGCATTATGTAGAATGGAGAAACATGAGAGGCCTTTCCAATAAGATCAGGGGTAAAAAATAAACCAAACCAAACCAACCAACCCCAAATCCCAAGCCGTCCACCATGAAATGCCATGATTTTCCCATGATTGCCCAGCTGGCAAGCGTCAGGGGTAGGACTGGAACCTGCCCAATCTGTACTGACTCCAAGTCCGCCACTCGGATAGATGTCCAGGTGATATGGTGCCAGAGGTCCTAGCAAGAGTCATAAAAAAGACAAATGGAAGGAATAAACAGTGGCCAAGAAGCAACAGAGTGGTCACTTTCAGAGACTATGTGATGGTCTAGCTGGAGAGCCCTAGAGATTCAACTCATTAATTGAAAGAATTAATAGCTTAGGAAAGTAGCAGATACCAAATAAAGCTCCCTAGATCATCAGCTTTTCTGCAAACAGCCAGCAAAACCCAACGGGAAGAGCTAGAAAAAGGATACATTCAAAAGGACGACAATGAAGGGCAGCTAGGTGGCGCTGCAGTGGATAAAGCACCGGCCCTGAAGTCAGGAGGACCTGAGTTCAAATCCGACCTCAGACACTTGACACTTACTAGCTGTGTGACCCTGGGAAAGTCACTTAACCCCATTGCCTAGCCAAAACAAAACAAAATGACGACAATATATTCAACACTTGGGGGTTTGCCTACCAAGACACACACAGAAACTATGTGAATCCAACTATAAAACACCCTTTACAGCAATGAGGACAGACCCAAAGAATTGTACAAAAAGGAATTGCTCATAGGAGGCAGTGTGAGGTAGTGGATAGTGAGCCAGC